TGGAGGTGGGCTTGTGGCTGGCACCGTGGCCGCCAGAGGGCAGGCCAGCCCCACACACTGCGCCTGCCTCTCCCGCTGCTCTGAACCCGTGCACAGTGCCGATCCGTTTGCGAAGGTCCCAGACCCCTTGGAGAGGAGCCTGTTTCCCATCTGCACAATGGGGAGGACCAACCCTGCCCCTCAGGTAGGGATCCTAGGAGTGGCCAGGACTGAGGTGAAGAGCTTCCATGGAGAAGCTGGAGATGATGCCCATCTTTGCCCTCCCGGATGTGGGGAGCCAGAGGTGGTGTGTGTAAAGCACGGGGCGCTAGAAGATGGGGACACTGTGGTGAACATTCCTAGCAGCACGAAGTGTGCCGTGGGAGGAAGTGGAGGTGGCGGGGAGAGGCCCGGGAGCTGTCATGATGCTTGTTGAATAGTTCAAGCTGAAACTGGGAAAGAACAGGACTTGGTTTCCATGTCCATTTTACAGATCAGGAAACTGAGGCCCCAAGATGAGGGGGACATTCAAAGGTCACTCAGCCCACAGGAAAGGAACTGAGACTTTCCCATGTCTGCCTGACTCTGGGGGCCTCTATTGGGACCGCCTGCCATGAATTCCAGGCCCTCACAGCCCAGGTCCCTGACTCCTGGTACATCTGAGAAGCTGAGGTCCTGCGGGGGCAGATCTGGCCCCATCATCCAGCACCTCCATGGCAGAGCTGGGGCCAGCTCCCTTCCCGCAGGACAGGGTGGGGCTGAGACACCCTCGGCTCCACGGGCTCCACATCCAGTGGATTCCAGACTCCCTGGGGATGGGGGTGGGGCAGCTGGGCTTTGGGAGCTTCAAACTTGAGGGTTCCCAGTGGTGACTCACACCCTTCCTCCCAGATCTCTTTGCCAGAAACCCTTCTCACGAGATCCCCTGCTCTATTTTAGGTCCCAGACAGTCAGGCGGGAGAGGGGGTGACAATGGTGGCTTTGAGGCAGCCCCACCCCCGTTCTAACTCCCAGAGGCCCAGGTCACTGAATTGACTCCTCACGGACCCGTCTGAATTGGGCCTCTAATAGAGGCAGCCCCTCACCCCCAGACATGGGTCCCGATATGGTGCCCCATAGCTGGCTCCCCAGGCCCTCCCTCCCTCTGCTCAGGCACCCCCAGCCCATTCCCCTTGTGGATTGCTCCAGCCACCTGGTTGTTCCTACTCTACTTGGATGGCCCAGCCCATCATTCCCAGAGCCCTCCAGGCAGACCTCATCCACCAGGCCCAGGGACCCCTCGGCCAGAAGGGGTTAAAACCTTTCTGCTTAACGCAGGAGTCTGTGGTTGCAACCACCCACCATGAATTCCAGGGGCCTCAGGGGCTCCAGCATCATGCCCACCTCTGCTGCCTCATCCTGCCACTGTCCCCTGCTGCCACCTGGCTCCCTGAACTCAGCCACAGGGCCCTTTCTTCCTTCCTCCACCCTTTGCCTGTGCACATGGGGTTCCCCACCCTCTTGGCCCGTGCTTACCTTCAGATCTCGCTCAAATAACCCTCCCCTTCCCCTACAGCCTCCCCTTGTCCACCCTCAGACTAAGTCAGAGCTCCTGCCTCAGAGATGAGACATTAGAATCACAGGTCTGGGTTAAACCTGGGTTGTACCGACGACCAGCTCTGCAACCTGGGCAAGCCCCCTGGTTACTCGGTGCCTCAGTTTCCTCATCTGTAAAATAGGGGTGCTCACGTGGCTGCCCTGTGAGGCGTCGGTGAGATGGTGCCTGTCAGGCTCCTGGTGCAGTAAGTGCTTGACGGCAGGAGCTGTGACACCCCCAGTCCCTTAGGCGTAGAGCCCAGACACAAACGCCCTTTGCCAGGCTCCCCCAAGGGCCCGGGCACAGCTCATGATGGAGAGAGAGGCCTGGTGATCAAGGCTGTCTGGCCTCTTGCTCAGCAGGTGCTGCACCTGCAGGGTGTGGTCCCTGCCAGGGGTTGGGGCACCCGTGTGTCACAGTGATGGTGGCAGCAGTACTGCACTGACTCAGGTTTTGTCCAGGATATTGGGGGACCCAGATTCTAGCCTCTCCAAGAGGGTCTTTGGGGAATATTTTCCACCCCTGGACTGTCTTTTCCTTCTCAGGGCCTGCCATATTCTCTCCTCCCTCAGCCCGGACTGAGGAGGTGGCTCTGTGCTGGCCTTCCCCACTCTCACTCCATCCGCTGAAGGTGACCCACTCCTTGCCCCCACCATCCCCATTCTAAGTAGTTTAGTGGAATATGCATTGCCAGGGCGAGAGTGCAGCTCCCAGGAAGCAGAGAAAGCTGTGTTAGCAAGAGAGCCAGCAGAGAGGAGAGGCCGAGAGTCAGCCTGCCCGGTTCCTGCCAGCTTTCCAGCTCCCAGCTCCAGTCCCTGGTGCTGCTGTCCTAAAACACACGTTTCCTTAAACTCCTTTCTTTCTTTCTTTCTTTCTTTCTTTCTTTCTTTCTTTCTTTCTTTCTTTCTTTCTTTCTTTCTTTCTCTCTCTCTCTCTCTCTCTCTCTCTCTCTCTCTCTCTCTCTTTCTTTCTTCTTTCCTTCCTTCCTTCCTTCCCTTCCTTCCATCCTTCCTTCCTTCCTTCTTCCTCTCTCTCTCTCCCTCTCTCTCTCTCTCTCTCTCTCTCTCTCTCTCCCTCTCTTTCTTTCCTTTCCTTCCTTCCTTCCTTCTTTCTTTCTTTCTTTCTTTCTTTCTTTCTTTCTTTCTTTCTTTCTTTCTTCTTTCTTTCCTTTCTTTCACAATCTCCAATATGATTTTGGTTACTTGCCACCCAAACAGGTTTGACAAAAACATCTCTAATTTCCAGAGCTGGTCCCCTAATAGTATGCCTTTGGGATTCTTCTCTGGGAATCCCCTGCAGTTTGCACACAGGGATCCCAGCTCCCCAAGGGTGATCAACACCCTCAAGTCTCAGTGGTTTCCCCCCAACCTGGGCCATCTGTATTGGAATGCACGTTAATTGCCATTGTCCCTCCTGAAGTGTTGAGGCCACAGCTGGAAACGTGCTCTGTATGGACTGACGGCCAGGCTGAGAGGTGCTGTCATTTCCAGTTTTCTAGACTCTCAGGCTCTAGTAGTGCCACCCGCATTACCAGAGGCATTTGTATTTCAGCAGCGACATTATTCTGGTGACTCACTGACTTTGTAGTGCGAGTTTTTCCCATGGACTACTATCTGGCAAACTCTCCCCCCTATCCGGTACGTGCACAATGAGTTCTTCGGAAACACAGGCAAGACCTTACATTATGCTGGTTAAATGTCATCTCGTTGGCTCCCATCCAGCCGCCTAGTCTCGAGAGCGTTGTCAGTCAGGCTTCTGTTGCACAAAGCATGAATTCTGCACTGTGGCAGCTGCAAATTTCATGAGCAGGCCTTCTGTGTTCTAAACCCAAACTGTAAAAATGATGCTCAATGGGACGAGGCTAAGGACAGAGCCCTGGTCAACAGAGACTGCCAGTGATTCTGATTCCTTTTGCGTCCACCACACCCATCAGGATCGTGGACTAACCATGGGTGGGGGCAGGAGAGTGATGAGCTCCTACCTCAAGCAGGGCTCTTTGGTTGCAAAGAACAGAAACCTTTAATGGCCAAAAGGGACCATATGGGAAGGAGCTGGGGGGGTGGGGATCAAAGATGGGAAGAACTACATCACTGCCATGCCACAAAGGGCAGGGAGCAGGGGCTGAGAATCTAGAGCGAAGTCCAGGCGGTTCAGGGTCCTTGGTCAGCTTTCCATTGGCCCAGTGAGTGAAGGGCAGGGCATCTGGATTGGCAGTCCTGCATCCTCCTCTGCATCTTCCTCTGTTAATCAATCAGGGATCTCCAGTTCGGTTTAAAACCAGCTGTGCACCTGTGGGTTCTGGAGCCACAGCTGTTCAAATCTGGCTCCGTCACCCACCAGCTAACTGCTCTGTGCTTCCTTTTCCTGCTGTCTACAATGAGGGTGTTGATTACTTCCCACCTCATAGGGTTTGCCTTGAGGACGGAGTTAATGCCTGCAAAGTGCTTGGAACGGCGTCTGGTGCATTGTCAGTGCTCTGTGTGGGTCAGCTGTGTTATTAAGGTTCTAGAGGCCCGATGCACGAAATTCGTGCAAGGGCCTTAACCCTCGTAGCCCTGGCTGCCTCAGCCAGCCCTCGCAGCCCCTCACAGCCTCTGCCGGCCCTTGCAGCCCTGGCTTCATCCAGAAGGTTGTCCGTTGGTCCTCCGGAATGTTGTCTGGACGGTCGTTCTGCTGTTCGGTCTAATTAACATATTAGCTCTTTATTATATAGGATAGGGTTATTACCCACATTTTCTCATTTAGCCCCAAAGATATGTAGGTGTATCTGGGTTGGGCACAGTTGCCCTGATTACAGGAGAGAGGCAAGAGTGCCCAGGGTTAATTCCCAGTGACCCCCGTTGGCATCTCTGGCCACCACTTCCTTTCTGAGCGCTCAGATAACTACTGAACAACCTGTGCAGAACCTGCTGGGCAATCCGTGTCAGGCCAAGGAGCCTGAGACTGCTGGGTCCACACTTTCTGGAAAAGAGGGACTGTGGTGCTTTCTTCTCCCCTGGCTTCCGGTCACACCTTTCGCTCTGGC